CTGGTGGGTCCCATGATGTTGGGACAGCTTTTCTAACATTTTCATGCAAAACCATGGGAGATTTCATAATTTGAATCTTAGCTAGTGGAATGAAAAATCCATCCATGCAAAGAGACTTTGTGGCAGAAGCATCTAAATGCTTAGAACCGGTAAAGCTGAAAGCAGAATTGAAACTACCAAGAGGAACGTTCCCAGAGATATTGGCCTTTTTATTGAAGTACTCTACCATCTGCAGCCATGTGATGAAAAGAATAAGACTTAGCTTACTATGCAAGATTGTGAGATCATTGAACAACTTTGCGTTAATTAGCTTGCCTTATTTATTGTGCTAATCCATGTCCTCATAAGTATCAATCTACAAAATTTATCGATGGAAAATGGGAAAAACATGTGCATGAAGTTTGACAGCAGAACATGAACATCAATGTTTTTGAAATCAAACTGCGCCAATTCATTAAAAGTTAAGAATGAGAATCACCCATCTATTGTGTCAAAGTTGTGTGCTAGCATGATGAAGAGAAAGGGAAAAAGGTGTCTAAGATGGGGATTACCGTCAGAGTCGAACTAAACGAGGTTTTACCTGCACATACCAGCCCATATGAATACCCTAGCAAGCATTTGCAATTTACTGAGTAAATTAGTAAAGCCATACTGAAATGGTTATACACTCTTTCTCCAAGCACAAACTCACATTCCTATAGTCCTTGATCTTCAGCACTCTTCTACAGAATACCAAAATCTTCATCGAAAGCATCCTTTATACAAAGGATTTGTGCATCATACATCTTGAACAATACCACGATTTATAATTGTATTTATTTGCTCATCACATTCACATGTTTAGTAACCTTGCAAGAAAAAAGTTACAAGCTTTGTCCACAGATATTCCAAGAATTATTCATTGAATTAATACCTATCGTTTTGCTAGAATTTTAACATATTCACATTTATTGTATTCTTCATTATGTAGAATAAGATACCACGACGTCATCATTCAATGCAACCTGCATTATATAATGAATTTCCTCATGAGCTAGAACAAAATGGTTCACTGGTTGGTTTGGAAACACAGATCAAACTAAGGTACGAAACTTCTAGCATATTACCCCTTGTTTAAGACCAAGAGACTAAGAAGTAATTCAAAGGAGCTTTCCCTGTTGTTTAGTCAGGTTCCAGGGAGTGAGTATACCAAGAATAAGCCTGTTCCTGTTCAGTTTTGCAATAATATGCATTTTTGGTCAAAGACTAGTAAAAAATGAGGTTATATAGATGGACTTCAAAAATATTACTCTTGTTGTAAGATAAATAAGTAAATGAACTCATCCTGATGAATAGTCAGTGTCACCCAAGAATATGTATCACATAAGATCACTTCCATCAATCTCCATAAAGGACCCAAACAAGAGAGGATTGGTTATTCTAACCCTCATTCTCTCAATACAAATTAAATGGGCCCTTTTTCCCAGTTTGAGCAGAAACATAACTCATTCCAGATTCGTAGTATTTCAGGTTTTTAATTAGTATGAACAATGTTATTTAACGCTGCCAGCAGTAAAGTGCCAGGTTTCATCCCATTTTCCAGGGAACAAGTGTTGTAAATGTTTCTCATGTTCACTTTATAAATTCCCACCATAAGTGGGCACCACCTAGATGATGTAAGGCTCAGAAACTCAATACGACACAGGAAAACTAATTAATGGGCAAGTCGACCAAGCTAGAAACTGATGGTTTCTGTAATTATAGGTTTGTATACCACGTGGCTATATGACCTCAAAGTTTTTGTTCATCGTGATGTTTATGAAGCAAAAATTGGCAAAAATGTCAAATTTGGAGAAATTAATATTTTAAATTTGTGTTCTTTCCTTTGTCTTTTATTGCTTTGTGACTAAACATTGTCCTTATTCATGAACCACTACAAGAAATGTTATACATACGCACCAAGAACAAAGGTTGTTAGATGGCATATTAACTTCCAACACCGGACCTATCTAGGACATTGTAGCAGGTTCACTGCTCAAATTTATGTAGTCAGGAAAAACAAATGTTACTCGTCTTTAAACTACATATATATAAACTACCATATTGACGTTTAAGGAAAGCAAGCCAGGTGGAAAATGCTCAATGTTACCAAACAAAAAGAGCTACCAAAAAACAAACAAAAAAAAAAAAAGGCCACAAAACCAGAAATTAAAACACGAAAATATAAAGGAAGGGATAACTTTGGATTGTATAGACAAAAATGGAACAAAAGAATCCCCCAGTTTCTTCTTTATCCTATGTAGGCCTAGCCCCCTGGCATGATGCAGATCTACTATAATATTGATCTTTTAAGATTCATTGGACCAAATGGCAGTGAGTTTACTATGCCTTCCATTTGCTACACATTGGATGCATCAACTGTAGTTACTCTACAAGATCCTATAGATTGAAACTAAGGAGATATAAACATAATAACTATTGTCCCTCACTGATCTACTGCCACAGGATACAGATGGATGATGTTGTGACTCCTCTGTTACTGGGTGAGACAACAAATAATGGTCAATACCAGACCGTACTGTACATGATAATACCTCCAAGATTGAGCAGCATTTGACACGGCATGATTCATAGAATTAAGCTTACTAATTTCATCAAAGCATGAAACATACTAGACGGTATAAGACAAGATTGATAAAAGCGAGAATATCAATAAGAACTAAGCATTCAGTAATCGGAAATACGTGGAAGCTGGTTAGCAAAGAAAGAGAAAGACATTAACTATAGAAGAATGGCTTAATCATTGCAAATCAAAACGAGATTTACATCACGAACAATTGGATCTTAACTGAATCCCCAAGAATTTTCTTGTTTGCAATCGTATTGATTTTATTCATTCAAAATCAGGGTATATACACAGGGAAGATCATATACTAGTTCCCAGACTTGGAAAATAATTTTCAAAAGCATATTCTCTAGCTCACAGTACTTCAAATGAAATCTTACGCAAACTTAACTTTTCAGGACGAAACTTCACTTAAAGTTGTCAACACCAACCCTCGTCTCCCAAGTGCTAAATGTGCCCCCTTCACAATATTTAGGAAGAAATGGCATCCCTTCCTTATTTATTGGCATAGTAAATTTATTTCGTAGTCTATGACTACTTCTCTTTCATACAATACTGGAAAGTAAACATATTTCGTAGTCTACAACTCTAGGCTCTCGGACACGGAGAAAGAACACCGTCGGTCTTTTGTTTAATTTACTCTAACATGTTATTAAAATTCTTTTTCTTTATTTCACAAACTTACTTTGAAGCGCAGCATGGGTAATTAGTAATCCTGGAAATTCATTTGATATTGTATTAAGTAATTCAGACTTCACCTTATAACTTAATAAGTCAAAACACAAATATACAATGACATATCAATTAGTATCGTCAACAAGTTTCCCAGACTCGTCGTGTAGTTAAAAAAGTATCTTCTTGGATATAGAAAAAAACAAGTTTCACATGCTCATTTCTACCACCCGAAAACTTGGAAAAATATAAGGGAAATTTAAGAACATACCTCATTATAACTGCAAACACCAAAGCCATCACGCCCCCGGGCCTCTTGCGAATTCTTGATGTCCCTAGAAACATTAGGGACAACCAAATCATCTGCCAAATACAAATCACGGATGTGCTCTTCATCAATTTCCACAATTCTTGACCCTGCCACTCCTTTACAATAAAGCAACTTCGTATCATAGTTAACATCAAAGCCGCTTCCCAGTGCCTGCACTGAATTCATAGCTGTATGCAAAGCTGCTGCATTTTCCTCCATTTCATCACCCCCACTTCCCCAAAACCAAAACTAACAAATGAACAAAACTCCAACACAAAATTTTGTAATTTCAAACATTAGTAAAATCGAATATAAACCCAAAAATCCCTATTCGATTCGAAACCAAAATAACACTACAAGTAATCCAAGAACCAGTTTTTCAATCAGGATAAAATATACTGAAAGGAGCCCATCAGAAACCCATCTTTAACACACCAGAAAAACCGTACAATTCGCCAATTGATGAAGCTTCATATTCATAGATCAGTCATCATCATCATGCTCAAATCTACATAACTTTGAAAAATACTAGTCTTTTAATGTTGACTATGGAGAAATTACCAAGAAAGATTTGAGATTGAGCCCAAAATTAATGAAACTGTCCAGCTACACTGTATATCCTTCCCAGATCTTGAATCTTCCATTCATCCAAGATTTTTTAGGTTTTCCCCCCTCTCTCCCCCTCTCGATATATTGATACATCTACTGATCCACATATATCTCAAGTACCCTTAAATACTGTGTGTACTTTATGTGATATTGGTAACCATTTGACTCTGCAGTCATTCATTAATAAAAAAGCGTTGAACCCTTGAAGCCCCTTCCGCTGCGCTCCTGGAGCACTGTAGAGTTAAATCACGGATGAACCTCATCGGGTTATGATACAAAAATTGTCATACGGATATTCACAAAAAGTCAAATCTCATATCTTGTAAAAGATAGAAATCGAACCCTCATATTACGATTATCAGATCAGTTGAAATTATGTCATTCTTGATCTTTACACCACTGAACTATGTCCCGAAACTTTCAGTCATTCATTAATTCACCTGCGTATAGTTTTCCTCTTCTACGAAATGTACACGTGTTTCATCATTTGTTTACCCATTTCTGAATCTAGACCGTCAGTTTGCTTCGTGTAAGATAATCACGAAATCTTACGGTAGAAATATGACTATGTTTCATATAAAAAAAAAAAAAAGAAATATGAATATGTTAGTTGACTTGGACTTGGTAAGTGTAACCAACCAGAGAAATATTAGATGAACATCATTGGTGTGACTGCCCCATCACAAAGAGGTGGGGTCCGCAATTTTTACACCAACATTATTCAACTAAGAAACTGATTTGGTTGCTTGTCATTAATGTAATTAGCAAAATTAATTAACAAAAACCCTAATTTATATTATGATTATCTCACCTAAAACATTTTCTCTTGGAATATCGGTCAACTTTCGTAGTATTTATTTCTTTCTTATTCTAGTTAATATGGTATTATTCATGATATAGAGTGGAGTGATTTTATCACGAGAAGCTTATTTTTAATCATATATTCTTTTAATAAAATAGTTTTGCACGTAAATTCATAAATCCTGAAAGGTCAAGATAGGCTAATCAAGAGGGGGTGAATTAGTTTTTAAAACTTTTTCGTTAACTACTCAAAATTTTAATCTAATGATCACACAAATGATAAATAGATAAACTAATCACAAATAAGCACGTAGATGAAATGATATAGGTTTGCACAAAGTAAGATGATAAGTAAAAGGGTTAGAAAGTGCAAACGATATAATATGGAGGTTCGATCCAACGCAATGATCTACGTCCCCCGTTACCAAACTCTCCATCACGAGCAAGACCTTTTTCACTATGTTGATTGACTTGTAGTGCAATTCAACCTTTTACAATGCTTTTGGTGACTTACAATAAAGGAGCATCGATCCTTTTACAATACTGAGCTTTCCGAGACTTCAACACGATCCACAATTTCAAGATGATTTTACAAGTGAAATCTTCTCTTCTTATTGAATGATAGATTCAATGTTGATAACAAGAAGAGAAAAGGTAAACACTTCAATAGATGGTAATAAGTATAGCTCAAAGTGTTGAAATGAAAAACTTCTTGAAGAATCAATAATTTTCACAAAGTTAATCGCTTAAAAGTTTTTCAAGAATTTAATGTTATTGATCTTCTTAATGATGGAGAATAAGGTGGTTGTGATCAATAAAAGTCTCTCT